AAAATTGAAAAACTAATATAAGAAAACAATTTGGTTTCTTGCTTGCAACTATTTTCCAAGCAAAGTAAGTGCACGATTGTATCATGTGTAACGTTACTGTTTAAACGGCGGATAAAGCAGCTTCATCATGGCAACTTGACAACAGCTAAGCTAAGCTAGGCTAGTATTTACAGCATCCGGTGACTTTTCAGAGTTGTTGTGCCACCGTGGTAGGCCAGTTTCTTGTCGCATATTTGGCACACTGCCTTCTTCTTACCGTCGTCCAATTTAAAATGGTCCCACACAGCTGAAGTCTTCGGCATTTTGTGTTCAGGTGTGTGAAACGAGGTGAAGTGAGGTGAAGCGAGGTGAAGCGTGCCGTTTGCGTTTGTGACTGTGAGTGAACGCGATGTCAGGAGCACAGGCTGATATTGTATATATATTTCCGCATTTTAACAGTGCAATTCAAAAGTATAAATATAGTATAAGAATATGGCAATTCGCCTTTATTGATAGCATACATTTAGGGGGAAACAAATATTGAAATTATGAAATTATTGAAATTATGAAATTATTGAAATAATGAAATTGAAACCCGAATAGTTGGCCAACGAACGAATATTCGAATAGTCGAATATTCGGGTACAGCCCTCGTATGAGATAGACATGCTTCGTGATATCACTGCAGCAACAGTCATTGCAAAGCTGAAAAGACATTTCTCAGTTCATGGAACACCTCACACCCTCATGTCAGACAATGGGAGGCAGTTTACTAGCCAGCGCTTTAAAGACTTTGCTTCACAGTGGGACTTCACTCATATTTCCAGCAGCCCTCAGTATCCCCAGTCTAACGGGCTAGCTGAACGGGCTGTGCGCAGTGCTAAGCAGCTCATGGAGAAATCTCATAGAGATGGAACTGATGTTTTTCTTAACCTATTAAACATCAGGAATGTACCACGTGACGCAAAATTAGGATCTCCTGCACAGAGACTGATGTCGAGACAAACACGTACAACACTCCCAGTCTCGGTGAAGCTGCTTGAGCCAGACATGCGCCATCCACAAGAGGTAAAAGCCCAGCTTCTAAACAAGAGGCTGTATCAAAAACAGTGCTATGATAAGTCAAGCCGACCACTACAACCTTTGATGGAAGGACAGGTTGTTAGGATGCAGACCCCACAAGGTTACAACAGGACTGGAATGATTCAACAGATTTGCAAGGAACCCCGGTCATACGTCGTCCACTCAGACAGGAAGCTGTACAGAAGGAATCGTAGGCACAAGTGACACTGATCATCAGGACACAGGACTTGAGTTTACAGATTGTAACACACAGGAATCACTGAACAGTGAACACATGAGGGCTGATGTTCCCACAGCTAAACTGCTGTCAGACACTCCTGAGAGTGTCTACAGGACACGCTCAGGCCGTGCTATCAAGCCTAATCCCAAATACAGAGACTGAAGCTTTGTCATGTATGCATAAGCATACCACTCTGAGAACAATGTCTCTAAACTGTTAGTTCACACAGTTATGCCATACTGAGGCTTAAAGTTTTGTTTCACAGTGCAAATGTATTCTATTTCAGTAATCTACTTTGTTACTGTAGTAATTACTGAGTTAATTGCTACACTCATTCTTTGAGATAGCCTCTGTGTTCATCGGTTACTAAATGCACACATAGTTTGATAATGTGTACATTTGCAGCATTCTGTATGTTCTGTCATGTGTGCTCAGTATAAGTTTTGTTCACTACTGTAGGAAGAGCTAAATAAAGGGAATGTAGAGTATTCGCATTTGGTCTCTTTTGTCCTTCTGCAGACACCGTACCGGATGTAGGGATCTACAGGCGGGGTTCGAGTAGTGTTGTAATAACTGCTATGTGTATGTAATGTTGCTCTGTCACTATTAAGGTTATTAAACCAAGTTCTATGATAAACATGACTCGTTTATGAGAACATTAAACACTTACTAAGCATTTTATTATCATTACACTGGAGAAACCGACTTATTGTGGCAGCAGAACGTGAACATGTAACTTAATGCCTGCATTTAAGGACGATAGCGTAGTCAAGGCTTTAGGGACAAGGAAATGATTTGTTTAAATATTAGATATGACGTTATGTGTGCTTCTGTGACAATTAAGCTTATTCATTGCATTACATTTGTTAAAGATGTTTGTCTTTTACCCTTATGTGTGTGTTACAAATGAATGTGAATATAGCATAGGACAAATATTTAATTTGACTGTCTCCAAAATAACAGTAAAATAATAAAGACCCCAACTAGACAATAATACACAATCCAACTGATAAGATACAGTGATATCCAGCACTTTTTTTTAAGGATAACAAAAAGATTATCACATGAAATTTGCATGTAAAAAAAGTCTGTGACCAACACATTGTTACTTTACATATATCTATATATATATATCTGTTTGTTAAAGTTTCCAGGTGATGCAGACAGACCAGAGGATGCTGACCACGAGAGACAGACCTATTCCTAACATCAGTGAACTTCAGCATGGACTAAAAGGTACAAAGACTCCTTTCATACTGTACAAAGAATCGAGAAACGTTCTGGTTTAAATAGATAAAGTAACAACTATAATCAGCTGTCACATTTCAATGTATTTAAGGCAATTATTATTTTACATTGTGAGAATTAATACCATTTGTCTCTACATATTGTCTGTAAAAGACGTGGTAAAAGTGGTTCTTGCAGTGAGACAACCGAAAAGGCATGACACTACATTTACACTAAGTTCTGATAACAGTTGAATATTATTTAATAATAACATATATTTTAATGTTGATTAACTGCAGACTGTTCATTCATAATCTGATTATCTTTGTAGTACAAAGTGATGAATTTAAAAAACACAGCAAAATAAAAAAATATTTTATTTCTACAGCCGCTTAATAAACAAACACACCTCTTTCATAACACACTTACTCTGCAATAATGTCATAGGTTTGATGTTTCTTGTCATTTCTGTTAGGAAAGGACATGCCTGAAGGACACAACTACCTCACCGTTTTCTCAGATGGGCAAGAAGAAAATGAAAAGCTGATATCAGATTAAAGACCAATACAGGACATTCACTAAGAAACTACTCTTTTATTGTGAACAGAAAGATCTGCGCACTGAATAGTGTGTAGTCAAACAGGACCATCATTTGTTTGTGACAGCTGAGCCCAGTATGGGCTCACATATGCAGTTAGGTGGTTTCTTCATCAGGCCTGGTCCTCCTCCATCAGGCCTGGTCCTCCTCCCAGAGAAAGACCTCTCCACCTCAGTCCTCTCCAGCCAAACCCACAGACAGGACATCCGTCATGCTGAGGTTTCTCCCAAAGTCTCTGCACGCTGTCTCAATTGATCCACACTGTGAATATGAGGGGGAAATGTGTGTCATAAATGCTTTAGACAATAAGAAATATGAAGTTAACTGTAAGGAATGGCTCATTCTTTTTTAAATAGACAAAACTATTACTGTATTTCAATATCTCACGTTTGAAAGTATATAAACATTGGTATATCAATAAATGTAGTTGATTTTGTCTTTTTAATTGTTTAAAGTAAAGTAGATAGAACTGGTGCTTAAGAGTTTTAATACAGTCTGGTTGTGGAGGAGGCACACAGGTAAGAGCACTAACTAGCTACCATCACATGTAACTAAGCTTGACTTGAATTTATTAAAAGTATAATTAAGTAACAGCAACAAATCAATAACTAAAATCATGCAAAAATGTGAATCTTTGCTGGATCCACTGTTGAATTTACCACATATTGTATATTTTAGAAACCTGAAGGCATTTATAGATTTGTATGCAAGTAATATCCCAAAACTCAACTCAAGATTATTATAGAAAGTTTAGCTGAATAGTTTCATGTTCACTTACCTTAAGCAACGTAAAACGTGCAGACCGGGAGCAACAGATGTAGGTTAGCCGGCTAGCTGGAGTACATAGGTTAGTTTTATATTTACTTACTGTTAACTAACTAATGCTAACATAACTGTCGGCTAGAAGTACACAGCTTAATCAACCATATTTAACAGGCCATTGTCCTCTCAGCCTGAAATATCAATCACTTCAATAAATGGTAAAACAAAAAAAGGATGGTTCTGGCTCAATTTCGGCTTAGTTAGCTTATTGCAGCTGTGCATGTTGCTAGCGGGTTACTTGCTAGGCCACCTCACGAGCTGCGCCAGGTGATGTAAACAAGAAAACCTCGATAGACCAGACCGTCTCAGTTTGTAGACCGCTCGGCCCGGGGTCCAGCCTACGGCTGCGGTGCCGTTTCTCTATAAATCCATGCTGAATTCAACCTTCTGTTTTCGTTCTTCTTCTTCTTCTTTAATGGCGACTTGCAACCAGACGAGCATTGTCACCACCTACTGCATCACTGCAGCATTGTTCTTTGTTAGTTCCGTTTCATTACAATGACTTCCGTTTCATTACAATGACTTCCGTTACAGCAAGAATCCCCCTCTCACACACATAGGTGAAACACATGCACATTCCCTACTAAGAACCTTTCAGTAAAATGTTTTCAGTTGCGTGTGTGTGAGGTTAATTTTCAGTAGTGTGTGCGTGCGAGGTGTTCAGTAGTGAATGTGAGAGTATTTCAGTAGTGTGTGTACAAGGCCAGAAGTTTTCAGTAGTGTGTGTGTGAGGTGTTCAGTAGTGAATGTGAGAGGATTTCAATAGTGTGTGTGTGAGGCTTAATTTTCAGTTGTGTGTGTGTGAGGTGTTCAGTAGTGAATGTGAGAGTATTTCAGTAGTGTGTGTGCAAGGTCAGATGTTTTCAGTAGTGTGTGTGTGTGTGTGAGGTGTTCAGTAGTGAATGTGAGAGTATTTCAGTAGTGTGTGTGCAAGGCCAGAGGTTTTCAGTAGTGTGTGTGGATAATTTTCAGTTGCGTGTGTGTGAGGTTCATTTTCAGTAATATGTGTGAGGCTTAATTTTCAGTAGTGTGTGTGTGAGGTGTTCAGTAGTGAATGTCAGAGTATTTCACAACCGCCGTTTTAAAGACATATGCCAGGTGTTCTAATCAGAGGAGACAAAGATTTAAATTAACCCAAACATTTTTGTGAAACTCATTGAGTTTAAAGAGAAGGTAGCAGATGTTTGGCCACTACGGAGCTGTTGAGCTAAAGGGGATTCTTTGTCAGTAGATGGCACCCATGTATTGGTCGCACTTTCATAGCTGACAGACTGTCAATCAAAAGACGGCATGAGCACAGATATGATAGACAGGGGGTTCATCCAATCCCCTGCCAAGTATTTTTGAAAGTGCCTGCCCTTTTCAAAACAGTTTCCCATAGAGTCTTCCCAGTTGGTTGTGTGAAACAAACAAATCACGCATGTCAGGTTATGGAAATCAAAACATATATTGTGATGTAACCCAGATAACACCTCATTAGAAAAAGTTCATTTGTAAATGAGCTCTCGAAAAGGCTTTTGTCCTTAATTGAAAATGCTATAGGGGAGATAACATCTGTCAATTCAACAAACCACATAGGACTATAAAACCAGTCAAAGTAACTTACATATCCATTCCCCTCCATATCCTTCAGGAAAGGATACCTGAAAATCAATGCTTTGGCCACTTTAATATATTCAGAATTTGTCGGATACCTAGAGAAAGCAGGATGAGAAAGTAAGTTAAGTATTTGTATGATCACAATACTGTAGAAGGTGTGCTGACAAATATTTACAATAGCAATATTTACATTGTGTATTGTGCCATCGTCTCATGCAATATCCTCACGATTTTGTGTCTATCAGTAGACACTTTATGGCATGGTTGTTTTGCGTCCAGTTTGGTCTGGATATCTTTGGGGAACGTTGGCAGGGTAAACACAGCAGGGAAACTCCCATATTATTGACTGCAGGACAAAGAGGCATGTGATTAGCAAAGCACAAAAAAGCTGAAAAATATGTGAGGACATGTGATTATATTTTATCATGTTATCGCTATGTGTGAGTGAAAGGGGTCTGCCTGCAGACCTCCACTCTCAGGACAGTTCCGGTGCAGACCTCCACTCTCAGGACACCTCCACTCTCAGGACAGGAAGTGCACGCTAAGAATTCCAAAATAAAATTACCACTATCAGTACAGTGCCACTTTTCAAACAGGAAATGCACGCAAATACAAAATAAAATCGGATCGTGACGGATCGTGACACTTATTATATACATATGTATATATATATATATATAGATATATACGGACACCTTGTATTGTTATTACTATCAGTACAGCCGCAGCGCCACTTTCCGAACAGGAAATGCACGCTAATACAAAATAAAATCTTACTGACACTTATTATCTATATATATAGATATATATTTATTTATATATATAAATACGACATCTTGTATTTTAGTTACACCCGCTAGACAACAGTGGAAGGTTCGAGAAACAACCGTGTTTGCCGGGTGTACCGCGGCGGAGGTGGGGAGGTTCCAGCTGGGAACCTCCACCCCGCTGCGGGACCCGTGGGACCCCTGGACGGTGCGTCTTGGTCAGGCTTCATATCGGCCGGCCCGGGAAGGAAGAGACACGCAGAGTGGGGGAAGTCCCCCACCCCAACGCAGCACACCCTCCCGGCCATCAGAGTCGAACCCGCAGTTCGGAGGAACCGACCGCCAGAGCTCCGGCGTGGAGGCCCTCCGAAAGTGGGTCGCGTTTGCCATTCGATCAGTGAGAGGAGAGGAGAAAAATGCAACAAAAATGGTCAAAATACGTTAATATATGGATGAGGGGGGGCTGGACACAGGCCGTGGGGGGACACCCGAGACCGGGCAATGTCCCCGGTAGAAACCGGGTGAAATAGCCAAAAAATAAATAAATAATAAAACTGGGGAAAAGTGAAAAAAAGAAAATAGGCACTCGTGAGGCGGGCAGAGTCCCCTGTCAACTCCCGTGACATTCCTCCATGGTGTCATTTGAGCGAAAAACGTTTACGAGAACCAGGCTGGAGGGGTCAAAAGGGCTTGACCAAGGCCGACCCAAAGTGCACGGTGGGCGGACTCATCACCTCCGTGATGAGTCTCCATTGTGATTTGAAAACTTCCATCAAACGAGTCCTGCGGTGGGCGGGAAAAAAAACGCGTCAGAATCGTCACTTCCTGTACTGACATTGACAGTGGAGGTGTCCTGAGAGTGGAGGTCTGCACCGGAACTGTCCTGAGAGTGGAGGTCTGCAGGCAGGCTCCCATGTAAGGGTTTGATCATCCATGTAATCAATACCCCTTCCCATTCAACCACACACTCCCATGTCATTGGAAACACATGTTCCTGCTTCCCATGACTGATATTTGTATTCTAATGAAAGTGTCAACCATTCCCCCCCTGATTAGTTAATACATAGAAGTAAAGCTAAGACATGAAAGCAACAACAAAAGTTATCGTAAAAAATAAAAGCAGTTTGTTAGTATTGAGCGTTCAACAAGGTAATGTCACACTTGCCATGTTGGAGAAAGACAGTCATTTGGCAAGATCTCAAAAGTCAGCGTTGTAATTGGCTCTGGCTCCTTCAGCTGGCGTGCAAATTGTAGGAATTTTGCTTGCTTTTTGAAGGAACCTTCAAAGAGGTATGCGACCATCGTCTCGGTCAGGCCTTAGGAAATTGCTTCCCCGTCCACATCATTATCTGAAGACACAAATTATGTTAGCAAATCTCAAAACACTTTTCAGAATGTAATCATTCCTAATCCATGCTGACATTATGTCGTTCCACATTCAAGTCAAATCCAATCTCATTGTTAGCAGTGCCAGTTCTAGTCAGGTTAGCAATACATTTGAGTTGATAATAGCCGAGTTTCCCGGGCTGATTTTTAGTCCCAGTCTGCCCCTGCATGTAATCAACATACACTAGCACAGCTGTAAACTATGGCTAACGCTCTGCTAGCTACATGGATGGCTAGCTAATGCCCCTTTCACACCAACGCAGTTCCAGGGCCAGTTCGGAGCTAGAGCCTGATAAGCGTTGGTCTAAAAGCAAGAACCGCATACGTCACATTTACGTAGAAGTGGGGCCAGATTAACCTGAGCTAACAGTTCAAGTACGGCAAATACAAGTTGTAACAAGCAGTAGCGCTGAGCAAAGTGACTAGAACGCAACCACACACTTATTAAAAAAAACACACTTTATAAAGTCAGGCAACACTAACCAGGCTTTGTGTGATTCTGTTTATTTGTACCTTAATTTGACCATCCGTTCGCTGTTATTGATCATTGTGGAGAGCAGGCAGACGTTTTGTTTAGTATTATAGCCGCTATCGGATCATGGAATCAATACATGGGCTGCACAGGTTGCCATGTCCGACCATCACAAGTAGAATGAACTACATTCATCTGGAGAAAAGTACAAGGTTGGAGAAGTAGTTATTGAAGTTAATCTGGCTTCGTATGATTAAAAGTAACAGGATCATCGACCCGACGCAGTCACCCATTGTTGTTGTTGTGAGCACCGTTGGGGAGAAATCAGCTACGTAAACGGTGACGTCATGACGCAGCAGCGTCAGCACCAGTCGGGCTCTGGGCAGTGTGAACAAAAAGGGAGAAAGAAAAACCGGTTTCGAATCATTAGAGCAAGCACGGAGCTAGAACGGGAGCTGCGTTGGTGTGAAGGGGCATTTCATACTGTAGGTAGCTTCGCACATGGCTGCTTCCCGCATAACGTTACATGTCTGCATGTGCTCATGTCAAGCAATCACTACACTAGCACAGCTTTAGCTAATCTTGAGCTATGGTTAACTAACGTTGTCTTGGAAATGAACAATCTCTCCTTTATTTAAGCAGAAGACAATAAATATGAGTGCCTTTTCCACAATGAACAGATTCATGTTGGTCAATAGCCCCGTGTCTGTGAGCTTTAGTGAAAGCCACTATGCTAATCACCCATCCAGCAAAGTAGGCAGACAACTGTCACAACGCCTCCATCGCGAGCTCACTGTATGTAGGCCTACAATTGTCTTTGAAATAACGTAATGGCTAGCGTTGGCGCTCCGCTAGCTAGGCTAACTATGTTCAGTTAGCTAGGTAACGTTATTTAGCTTCACACACGGTATGACCAATACATTCAAAAACATTTAACCGGCAGTATTCTGTTGTTCTCCAGGGACTATGGAGCTAGCTAGCGTTAGATACCATCTCCCCGGTCTTTTCATGAAAAGCATTACGGCCCGTCTACACTACAGGCATCGAAAAAGCTTGAAGCTGGGCGTGTCTGAGGCTTGGCGATTACCAACAACCAATCACATGAATCTCCCGCCCCCGACATACAAAGCAATAGCAATGTTAAAACGAAGTAAACTGGATATAAAATCCCCAAACAGGCGAAAACCTACCAGTTTCACCCACTGTCTCTGCCACCTCCCTCCATGCCTGGTTCCTCCGGTTTGTATCCCGGTAAATAATAATAATAATAATTCCTTACATTTATTATAGCGCTTTATCAATGACTCAAAGCGCTTTACATATACACACATTACACATATATGATACATGCAATGGTCAGATAGATAGTTCTGGTCGGAAAGAACCGGGTGATTTGCTACCGTCATTTCTCGTTTGGAATATGAGGAAATGAACTGCGGTCTGGCTCTCCCAGCTTGCACGCGGTTTGATTGGCTAGCGCTTGTACTGGCGGGAATTGCAAAAAACGGGATTTGATTGGCTGACGCCAGCTTCGAGCAAGCATCGAGCCTCAAAAGTTGAACATTGTTCAACTTTTGACGCCGATAGACGCTCGCAATACTTGCAACGCCTTGCCATGCTACCCACAATGCAGTTCGGCGAAGTTTGAAAATATCCTACGTTACCCCATTCAAATGAATGGGCGAAGCGTTGAAAGCATTTTTTGACGGCTGTAGTGTAGACGGGCCGTTAGCCCTAGTTAGCTAAATGTTTGCTACTTGACTAGTCATGAATGAAGGTAAAGTTCACTTACCTCTGAATTTCCTAGCTTCCAGTTCAGTTATATTTCACACAGGCTCCGCCCTCTACTGGACTCTATGGGTACTACTCTCTATCATGCTGTAAGTGCTTTCACCTACTGAGTTTACGTAAACGTAGCAGGCCAATCGGGGCGAGCCTACCTGAATGCGCGCGCAGGCCCACAGTATAAAGGTGGCTACACCCGCCGCCCACTATCCTTTTTCTCTTCAGACGAGCTGACAACCGAAGAGTTACGGCCCGTCCACACAGCGGCGTGCGTTGAAGCTTCCAACGCTTCTGCCCATTCACTTTGAATGGGGTGATGTCACTTTTAGCCGAACTGCATCGTGGGAAGCGACGCGGAGCGTTGCTGGCGTGGCTCGCTGCAAAAGTTGAGCAATGTTCAACTTTTGACGCCTCGGCAGAAGCGTCAGCCAATCGAATCATATGCCAGTACAAGCTCTAGCTAATAAAACCGCTGCTTGTGTGTCAGGGGCGGGAGATTCATGTGATTGGTTGTTGGTCGAGTGTCAGACATGCCCGCCGGCAAGCGTCAACGCACGCCGCTGTGTGGACGGGCCGTTAAACGAACGAAGATTAGAAGATTAGAAGAAACGAAAAATGGACTCACCATTACTGGAAGCTCGGCCATGCACCTGCCCTGGTTTGATCGCGGGCGCCGGTCTCCACCACCTCTGCTTAGAGTGTTTGGGGGACCAGGATATGACAGAGGCGGTGCCATTCATGTTCGCCATTCCAGCTGGGCGGATGGCTCCGTTTGCTGTTGTCGGGCACTTCCGGGTCCGGTCCATGGAGGTCCACCGCCCTAGGTGATGACCATGGTGGCGGAGCGCAACTGCTCCCAGCGGGCAGCAGGCTGGGCAGGGAGCTGAAAACAGCTCTGCCACGCTACCGCGTGACAAGG